CAATATATTACTTGATCTCTGTTTTTATTTGGTCATTGATCCATTGATTATTTAGGAGCATATTATTAAGCCTCCATGTGTTTGTGGGCTTTTTTCTTTTCTTTGTGTAATTTATTTGTTTCATACCTTTGTAATCTATGAAGATGGTTGGTATAATTTAAATCTTTTTGAATTTACTGAGGTTCTTTTTGTGGCCTAGTATATGATCTATTCTTGAAAATGTTCCATGTGCAGTTGAGAAGAATGTGTGTCCTGTTGCTTTTGGATGGAGTGTTCTGTACATGTCCATTAGGTCCATCTGTTCTAATACGTTGTTCAGTGCCTCTGTCTCTTATTTTCTGTCTGGTGGATCTGTCCTTTGGAGTGAATGGTGTGTTGAAGTCTCCTAAAATGAATGCATTGCATTCTATTTCCCCCTTTAATTCTGTTAGTATTTGTTTCACATATGTTGGTGCTGCTGTGTTGGCTGCATAGATATTTATAATAGTTATATCCTCTGTTCATTGACCCCTTTTATCTTGTTCACTGACCCCTTTATCATTATGTAATGCCCTTCTTTGTCTCTTGTGACTTTCTTGGTTTTGAAGTCTATTTTGTCTGATACAAGTACTGCAACTACTGCTTTTTTCTCTCCCTATTAGTTGCATGGAATATCTTCTTCCATTCCATTACTTTCAGTCTGTGTATGTCTCTGGGTTTGAAGTCTCTTGTAGGCAGCATATAGACAGGTCTTGTTTTTTAATCCATTCAGTGACTCTGTCTTTTAATTGGTGCATTCAAACCATTTACATTTAGGGTGATTATCGATAGGTATGTAATTATTGCTATTGCAGGCTTTAGATTCGTGGTTACCAAAGGTTCAAGGGTAATTCCCTTACTGTTTAACACTCTAATTTAACTCACTTAGTATGCTATTACAAACACAACCTAAAGGTCCTTCTTTTTTTTTTCCCCTACATTTTCTTCCTCCTCCAATCTTTATATATTAGGTATCATATTCTGTACTCTTTCTCTATCTGTTGATTGATTTTGGGGGTAGTTGATTTGATTTTGTGTCTGCTTAATAATTAATTGTTCTACTTTGCTGTGCTTTTCTTTTTTCTGGTGACAGCTATTTAGCCTTAGGAATACTTCCATCTATAACAGTTTCTCCAAAATGCACTGTAGAGGTGGTTTGTGGGAGGTAAATTCTCTCAGCTCTTGCTTATCTGAAAATTGTTTAATCCCTCCTTCAAATTTAAATGATAACCTTGCCAGGTATATTATTCTTGATTCAAGGCCCTTCTGCCTCATTGCATTAAATATATCATGCCACTCCCTTCTGGCCTGTAAGGTTTCTGCTGAGAAATTTGATGATAGCCTGATGGGTTTTCCTTTGTATGTAATCATTTTTCTCTCTCTAGCTGCTTTTAAAAGTCTATCTTTATTCTTGATCTTTGCCATTTTAATTATTATATGTCTTGGTGTTTTCCTCCTTGGGTCCCTTGTGCTGGGAGATCTGTACACCTCCATGGCCTGAAAGACTATCTCCTTCCCCAGATTGGGGAAGTTTCAGCAATTACCTTCTCAATGACACTTTCTATCCATTTTTCTTTCTTCTTCTTCTGGTACCCCTATAATATGAATATTGTTCCCTTTGGATTGGTCATACAATTTGCTCAATATTCTTTCATTCTTAGAGATCCTTTTCTCTCTCTGTGCCTCAGCTTCTTTGTATTCCTCTTCTCTAATTGCTATTCCATTTACCGTCTCTTCTATTACACCTAATCTTCTTTTAAATCCCTTCATTTTATGTTTCATTTCAGATATAGAATTTCTTAATGATTGAATCTGTCTTGAATTCGTTCTTGAGTTCTTGAATATTTTTCTATACCTCCATGAACATGTTTATGATTTTTATTTTGAACTCTCTTTCAGGAAGATTCAGTTTCATTTGGCCCTTTTTCTGGGGTTAGTGAGATTTAGGTCTGAACCAGGTTCCTCTGACGTTTCATATTTCTATATGGCACCCTCTATTGCCCAGTTATGGTTAAAAGACATCAAACTGACCTCTGTGTTTGGGAATCTAATATGATTATATGAACGAAGCAGGACTGTGAGTTTAGTAGAATCACATTATATGAAAACCCTGTGTCTAAGAATTCAAAAAGTATCCATTAGCTGGTAATAGATGTCCTAGGTCCTTACTGGTCTGAATGTGAGTCAGCAGAAGCCATCATCACCTGGTAGCTTGTTGGAAGTACAGAATCACAGACCGCAGACCTTCTTGAATCAAAATAAGCATTACAGCAAGATCTCCCAGTGATTTGTATATAATGAGGCTTGAGAAAACCACCATTGAGAATTTTATGTTCATAGAGCTAGCATTTGATTGTTTTTACTTCCTTTTCCTCCAAATAAACTGTGCACTTTAAGGAAAAGCCAGAGCTGGAGAACATAGGAAGGGCAAAGACATTGGTGGTGGTAGGAAGCTAACTGGACACATTAAGGGGGAGCCTCCTTTTGGCTGAACAGGCATTTTTCCTTCTGTCCTCTTTCCCTGTTAGAGACTTCCCTTCTGTGGCATGAATATACTGTGAACAATAACCATCAAATTAATGAAAGGTTACAGTTCAACAGCCTTTTCTCTTGCATTCCCTTTTCTAATTTTTTTTTTTTTTCTGCAGAAATCATGTTTTGGGGTTTATGCATTTAGTGAGTTTTTTTCCTGAAAAAAAAAGGTAAAACTTTGTAAATGACATGGGGTCTCACACTTGACATAGTACAGCAAATTAGACCATATTTTGCCTTGTTTCATACAATGTTTTAATATTTACATTTCCTTGGATAAAAATTTCTGTTATGTAAAATACCTAAAAAAAAATTGGTTTCTGTGTTTGTAACTTTTACCCTGAAATTCCCTGTTCAAGTCAACGTCCTTTCAAATTAAATCAGATTTTCCAGAGACATTAATGATTTTGGAGAGCAAGTCCTACCCCTTAGGTAATAGGGTAATTCAAATAGGATTGAATTACCTCTCCACTCAGAGGAAGTGAGAGGGAAAACAAAGGAAAGCTTTCTTTAAAGAATGCCAGGTAGCAAACGTAGGAAGAGTGAAGAGTAAGAAAATCACCATTTTGTAACTTTCAATGTAACAGCTGATTCAGGCAAAGCAAGAATTATTAATTGATGTTAAATCAATGAGATGAAAGATCATAGGGTGTATTAGTTACATATTTTGGTGTAACAAATTGCTCCAACAATTAGCAGCTGAAGACAACAAATATTAATTAATTTAATTTCTGAGAGTCGGGTGACCTGTAACAGCTTACTGCTGCCTCTGGCTCAAGGGCTCTCCTGAAATTACAGTTACACAGTCAAGCAGCATCACAGTCATGTCAAGACATGAGGAGGGCTGAATGATCTGATGCCAAGCTCTTTCCTGTGCTGGCAGGAAGGCTTCAATTTATAGATGGCTGTCAGACCAAGGGCCTCAGTTTTGCCACACAATGTGGGCTACTCCACAGGGCTGCTCACAACATGGTCATGCTTCCACCTGGGCAAGTGGCCCAAGAGAGAGGTGTGGACATAAACAGAAAGACAGACAAAAAAACATCGACAGAAGCAATTCTTTTAATAACCTAGTGTCAGAAGTGACAACCCCACCACTTCTGTTGTATTCTAGTTGTTAGAAGAGAGTATCCAGTCCAGTTCAAGGATAGCAGATTACACAAGTGCATGAATGCCAGGAACAATATCATGGGTCATCTCAAAAGCTGCCCAACACAATGAGGATCAAATGTTTCTATGATGCCAAAGTACTACACCACAGATTACATACTAATTATTCAGGAGAACGTGTACCATTACAATGGACAGATTTGAATTTCCAAACTTAGCATCACTACTAGTGGAACTCCTGATATGATACAATATGAATTTCATAGTATCCTCTATGAAGTAGGGTCTTGTCAAATGTATTTCATCTAAATTTAATTAATCTTTAGACTTACCTTTATAGCACACTGAGAGAATGGATGAAAGTTACCAACAGGCTGAGGAAGCAGTAGACAAATCTAAATGTAGGGCATTCTACAAAACACCTTTGTGGCACTCTTCAAAATGTCAATATGATGTGGAAAGAAAGGTTGGAGAATTAACCCAAAATCTTAAGCAAATGCAATGTGTGAATCTTGGTTAGATCCTTGATTGGATAAAACTAACAAAAACAGCTAAAAAAGACATTTTTGGAGATAACTGAAGAAACTTAATATGTAATAACTATTACAGCATATTATACAATTACTTATTATTATATGGAAAGGTGTGATAATGGAGTTATGATTTTATAGAATGCCCCTATTCTTAGGACATGCTGAAATATTTCAGACTAGTGTTATGAGGTCTGCAACTATTAAATGACCCAACCACCACCACACACATGTATGTGTATGCAGAGAGAGAAAAAAACTGACAAAACGTTAAATTCAGTTAAATCTAGAGGGTACACTGTTCATTGAACTATTAAGTATTATTTTTTAAACTTTTCCATGTGCTTGAAAAATTTCAAAATAAAAATTTTGGGAAAAAATTATCATCTTTACCTCCAAATAATTTCACTGGTCTTAAAACTCCATTTGAGCTAATCTTTCCTGGCATACAGTTCCCCTCTAAGGAATGTCTAAAATAATAATTGTAAGATAAATTTTAGCCAAAATAAGCAGGCAAAGAGAGGCAGCAAAGGGCCAGGTAGTTTATTTGAGTGCAACTCCCAGGTGATGTTCCGTGGTCTGGGTATTACAGGCCAGGGGAGTCACACCCCGGTCAGGGAGGTGGGGGCTTATAAGGGATTAGGAGGGGGAGGAGTGGGCAAGCTATCCTAGGGGGCGTGGAGAGGTATGATTGGCCAAAGGTGACATAATAGACAACTAGAAACTTTTTTTCCTTCCAAGAGGGAGGAGGCTGACATCCGAGTCTTAGTTGGCACATCAGAAGGATGGAATTCAGGAAGAGCTGTCCCCTTTCCATATAAGGCACGGACCTTAGGGTCTGGTCTGTTCTCCCCCTATGGAATCTCTCTGTTCTGTTTGCATGTCCTTGTTTTTCCTTCCTCCAGCCTAACAATATTAACCCCTCTTTTAATCAAGAAACTTCCTGAGAACAATTACTAAATAAATCATGCCACTTTGTTAGTTGGTGATTTATATATTGGCTTCCTCACTGTATGGAAGGTCTGTAAGGTATGAGCTGGGTTATATACATATACCACTGCACAAAATCCATTACAGTGACCTACTCACATTACACCACATCTGCTGATGCTCATTAAAAGCCAAAAAATAACAAGAAATAGAAGCTAAGCAGAGAGGCTTCTTTAAATATTGGCTTGTAGTTTATACTGTATAAAATTCATTCTGCTCTCAAAGAGCTCTACATTCTGTATCCTAGAAATGCTCACTGTTGTCACTAACTCTTAACTGTTTTTATTTATTTACTTAAAAGTAGAATTTTAATGCCTAGCTTTAACATAATTAACAGTATTTTGTCTTTGAATAGGAGTTTAAAAAGAAGTTTATAAACCATATACCACTAAATTTTACCATGTGGCAAAGTCCTGAAGTAATAAGATGAAAAATGTGTTTAAATTATTTATAGATGGTTAAAAAAAAGACATAAAGAGAACAAGCAACCTGTCCTAAATCACACAATCAATTCTCAATTCTCAATACTTATTTCTTTTTTCAATGACACATGCTTATTTTCTATTTGAAGAGCTGGATTATACTTCACAGGAAACCTAAAACAAACTCTTGGGTCAAGAAATGTGACTTGATTGTAAAAAATATATTTGTTGGAACTGTATAACTTTAGCTGCACTTTATGAACATTCATAAAGAATTCCATGCCTCAGTCTGCTTCTTGATATGGTCCATTTCATTTACATAATAATAAATAAGTCAGCATTTATTTTACTGATTTAAGGTTTTCATCCAAAAATTCAGTAATGGCTTCTTCATCTGCTGATTGAAGCAGTCTCTGAATTAGCTGGTCAAGGCACTTCTCCCCATATAAAAATTCCTAGTAAAAGAGAGTTATTATGAAAACCTGATTACTGTAAGTAAAGAGGAAACAAACAATTAAGTGTATATTTCTTTCATTTCTTTACAGTCACTATTTAATAACAAAAAAGGTTACTAATGTGGTTCTACAATAAAATTAGCACACCTACTAACTTGGGAGGATCCCAAATTAGCATGGCTTTTCATGTGAAAAGTGAATCCAAAAGAGTAAATGAAATTATACTTTCTTAAATTGTTTAAATTAGCATTTTGTTTTAAAAAATCAATATTCTGGGATTTTTCTCTTTCCAACAAGTCAGGAGACAATAAAAGAGATCTGATACAACTTTTGAAATTTACCACCTCCTTCTCTTTAAAGTTGCTTTGCTTGACTTTCGTAATAACATGGTTCTAGGATCTCAAACCATCTTTTGGAGGATGTTTGCTGAATCCTTTCTCCTCTTGTACACTAGAAAAATAAGGCTTTTTATTTTGGTCCTAAAAATTCCACCCTTTTCAATCATATCATGCTATTTCCCAAGGGCAAAAGAGACTGAAATGCTTTAAGGTCCCAGCCATCTTGTTGCCATGTTAATATGCATACAGCTCCTTGCCATTTTCTGTCTTGCCAAATCCTCTGGACCTGGCATAGATAAAGCCTCCCTGGACCATTCCAGCTTACTTTTTCACAGACCAACCCTCCAAATTTATGTCAGTTAATCTGTAAATTGTTTATACTAGCTCTATTTTTTTCTTAAATTGAAAATACAGTGGTTTCACAATCTACAAGTCTTGTGTAACAAAAATGTTTATGAAATCACCTTGGCAAAGCTTTTTAAGAGACGACTAAAGTCATGACTTTAAGTACCTTTCCTGTATTATAGAGTTCTGTGCAATAGCTTGTTGGGATTAGTGAATTAGCATAGTCTCGTATTTTAGAATTGCTCAAAATCTTAGACATTGGCTAATGGAAATATTTTAATGTCAGCATCTGGAACACAGAACATTTAAAGTTTTGATGTAGGCAAGAACTAATCTTATATTTATTTGGTCTTTGTTCAATGGTCTTAAGATTGGATTTTAGGTTAAGTAGAAAATTCTCAAGTTAGACTATAGGAGAAAAGATAATGCTATATTATTTTTGCTTTCCACAAAACACGAGCATATAGCAGAAACTCAATTAAACTTTAAAATTAAACAGAAAACAAAGATACTATGATGAAATTTTAAAATTAAGATTTATTCCATTTTTGAGCATAATATGATAACTGCTTATAAAATTAATGTGCCTAGAGTTCAAATTATGCTTTGCCAAGGTGATTTTATCATTTGGAAACTATGTAGAAAGGATTAGCATTCAACTGATAATCATATCACAGAATTCAACTGATTAACCACAGCACTAGAGATCAAAGGTCAAAGATGAAGGCCCTGTAGTTCCTAATGTTCAGAAGCTCACAATCTAGTGGGAGAGCAGATATCACCATAGACTGTGAGAAATTAAAAAATATTTAAGGAGCCATTAATTTTTACAAGATGGCATCAGGAAAGAGTTTAGGAAGGAAGAAAAAAATTGAATTATAGCTTAAAAAGAGAATAGTATTTCTCCAAGTGAGGCAAACAAATAATTTCTGTCAAAGAATAAATATGAAAAAAGGCATTTAAAGCACAGGGCAAGGGAAGATATCTGGTGTAAATGGAATATAGGGCAGGGAATAGGCTGCTGCTAAGAAATCTGCACAAGGACTTTGAGAAACAGAATAAAAATACCAAACAATATATTACATGGTAGTCTGTGCCTATTATCGAGATAAATAAAAGTAAAATTATCTACACGAGCACTCATAATAAGAATCACTGGGTGCCTGCACAGTCCCCACAGACAGGAACGTACAGGGCTGCTGCCGTCACCCCGGGAATGAATGCATGTGGGATTCATGTCATAAGGATTTTTTCCATTCACTTCTCATTTTTGCTCCTTCCAATGTATCAGCTTCATTCTTCTAATTTTAGATTGCTTTCTCCCCATGGCTAGAAATATGGCTTCTAACCTCTTGAAAGCTTTACATATTTCAGTTTTAGCCACCAAGAGAGAATAGGCTCTCTTTGCCTCCAGTTTAAAATCCTAGGAAGGAACTCATTGGCTGGCCTTGCTTGGATTTCCTTCCCAAACCAGATATTGTCTTGGGTCAGGATCAGGATCATGTAAGACCACAGCAGTGCCATCAGGAAGTATGTGGATGGAGTATGGAGGGGATCAGGCCCGAGAGTATGGGAGGAGGGCTGAGCAGAAAGTCCTGCAGACACACACTTTCTTTCCTCTCTGCTGTTGCCATATCACTTTTCCTGCCTCCTCTATTACTATGTAGTTTCTAAATTATTCACTAGTCTCTTTCTGTTCTTCATATGGATTTTAATGTATTACTACATTTTTTATGTGATTTTAAAACTTTTTCCTTTCATTAATATCTGAGACATTCCCTTTCTTTCCATCTGGTTAGTTATTATGAGAGTCTAAAAAATATAATTTCCTTATTATTGCTGAGTCTGACATGCCAGTTTAGTAATAACATGTTAGTATTGAGGCCAAAGACAAATATTTTATAACTACAAGAGCCAGTGAACCTGTCTCTGTTTCAATACTGAATACAACCCTGAGCACTTACATGCCCTTCTATAAAATATTACCAGTCCAGAGAAGGCGGCTGTCTTAGGGAAAACAATCACTACTACCAGAAAAACTACTGAAAGAATATGGTGTAATTAGAACAATATGGCCAAACATGTTTGGTTATTTCTGTATGTTTCCTGAGGAAAGGGAAGTTAGCAAATGTTTTCTCCTGTTCAACAGGCTATCATGTTCCTATGCAAGACAGCCTTGCACTGCTGAGGAGACAGAGGAAGTGGCATAAAATACATGGACATTTCTACACATTTTAAACATCAGACATTTCCCTTGTAAAATTAGGACTTTAGTTTTGAGTGCAAAATGAGAGAGAATCAAGGGAAAGAAGCCCTACGCATCATATGGCGCCAAGGAAAAGACCAAAACTTTCTGCCCAAAGTCTCTTATAGGAACCGTTTCACTTCTCCCTTTAGTGGAAGCAGAAGGAAAGTTTTTCTGTACTTTATCATTAATGCGTTAATGTCAGTGGTCCAACTAGATGGGATTCAGTTAGGTTAATGTTCAAACCATCTTGACAGGGTCTTTCCTCAACAATATAGTGTCACTTCTGAATCTAATGAATACATATTGCGGTAGGCAGAATTCTAAGACGCCCCCTGGTGTACACACCTTGTAGAATCCCTTCCCTTAAGTGCAGACAGAAGCTGTGAGTATCATATCACTCTGGGGACTTGCAGTTTATCAAAAGGAGTATTATCTAGGTGGGCCTGACCTAAACAGGTGAGCCCTTGAAAAGGTCTGAGCCATTCCTGCAAAAGATTCAAAGTGGGAGAGTGCCATGGAGGGGGCCACCTAGCATGCAACTAACTGTGAGCAGTCTTTAGGAGCTGAGGGCAGAGAACTCTGCTCTGTTGTACCCAGATCTCCGACTTACAGTAACCATGAGATAATTAATAGCTATTATTTTAAGCCACTGAGTTTGCATAAGTCATTATACAGCAATAGATAACTGATACACATGTATATACGCATACTGAATATTAATGCACTGTGACTACATAACAAAGAATCTGGAATTGAAAAGACAACTGTTTCAAACTAGCATAAAGATACTTTTTACCAGCAAACTAATACATATGTTTGCAAATTTTAGGGTACTAACATAAACTGGTTTAATGAGTTTAAATTACTTGGTAGTATCTTAGATATTATAATATTATAACACTCTAGAATTTTACTATACTTTCTTTGAAAATCAAAGGCACATGAAGAATATTACCTTAATATCACGAACTTCATAAGCTATCCTGTGATCAGTGACTCTATCCTGGGTGAAATTATATGTCCGAATTCTCTCTGACTGGGCTCTTGTTCCCACCTGTGCCATAACAGAAAGCAATTCACATTTGAACTTTATAATTACCTTTATTACAAGAGGGAAGTACTTGTAGATGACTTTTCTGTAACACTTTAAATTTTTTTAAAAGTCATATATACAAAGTGACAAGGAACAAGAATGTGCAGAACATAATGTTTAAGGCTATTAGGTTTGTGAAGCTTAGTTACGGAATAAGAGTTAATGCCTCTTTGGTATTTCAAACTCCAAGTACTTAAAACCAAATTATCTTTGCACCCCAACTCTTCCTTCTGGTTTCTATAAATGACATCACCACATTCCCTTTGATTCAAGTAGGAAATTCTGACATCCTGCAACTGAACAAAAATTTCATGGGAGCTTATTACTATCTGCAGGCTTTGGTATAGGCACTGGAGGAGATACCACCTTCAACCCATCCCATTCCCTAACCGTGCATTTCCAATGGTTTCAAGAGTCTCTTGTTATATCCTGTCCTTCCCATTTCTACCTATCATTCAAGGGTTCATTACTTTCATCTACATTCCCGTAAAAACCATTTCTCTGCTTACATTTTGCTGCCATGGTTATAGTCTTCCTAAAATAGTTTTTTGATACATTTTCTTCTTTGGTTCTTTCCTGTCTACTCAGAAGATACACCTCAACTCAGCATTTGAGGTACTTCATCAGGTAGCCAACATTCCCAACGTCATTTCTGAAAATCATGTGAGCCTCTATAATGTCACTTATTATACCATATCATCATTATGTGCATATCTGTTAACTCAGCTAAAACATTCATCTCAAGGGATGCCCTTCCCTAACACTCTCCTGCCACCCCTGCCTTTCCTGGTAGCAACAACTGAAATACGTTCCCTTCCTCTGTGAAACCCCCGACATTTGGCATCTTCCTCACAGCACACGAGAGTCTGCCTTACGCTATGGTTTTTTGTATTCTTGTTCGTTGGCTCATCTCTCCTACCTCCCCAGCACAAGACAAAAGTACTATCTTCTCTCACTCACTTTCACTTTTTAAGATTAAAAAAGGACATTTCTATAACTTATTTTCTTAACCTTGAAGGCAAGTGATATGAAGCTACGTTTCTAAAAATAGCTGACCATCAGGAGAACTTTTAATTATTAAAGATACCAAAAAGCCTAACCTCAGACATACTAAGGGACTATGTATGTTTGGAACATTCCCCAGGCCATCCATTCTGCAATGAGCCAAGTTTGGAAACTACTGTCTCAAAGCACCATTTTAATCCCACAGCCCCACCCAGATCAGTAACATCAGAACCTCTGGGGGTGTGGCTTATACATCTACAAAGCTCTTCAGGTGATAAATGAAACCTGGCATAATGCCTTCCCTATAAAAGCTGCTGTATACACTAACTGAAAAAAAAACCTTTAAAGCATTAGACATATCTACTAAAAAATTTCACACAGATGGAGAAGGTAATCTGGGGGTACAGAGGTCTTTTCTGGTACCTCAGAGCAGATTACTAAAGACATACATACAATTTGACTCAGGTCAATCTTGAATACTTAGTATAAAAATTACTGTGTGAAGCATGTCGGATGTGTATAATTATTGAATCACTATGTTGTACATCTGAATCCAACATAATACTGTATATTAACTTTATTCCAAGAAAAAAAGAAAAAAAAAGACAATTAAGTAAAGAGAATCAGTTAAAAAAACTCACTGTGTGGAACATCTAGCACCAAAAATCAAATGGCAAATAAATCCCAGTGTCTTTTATTTATTCAAATATGGCAGGAAGATTCATAGTATTTATGTTATCACTTAGATGCTAAGAAATAATGGTTTAAAAATGAGCATTCCCACCTGCATGTGTATACTGATTGCAGCACAATCTAAGATTATCATGAAGAGAGGATTAATATGTTATTTATCCTGTCACTTTTACTACCTGTAATTTAGAATGTGGGTAAGAAAAGCTAGAATGGCAAAAGTATGAAAAGACTAGGATATCTAGGCAAAATGACTAATGTTTAGGTTTATACAGTTCATTATCCTAAAAGTCCAAAAAATCTTCCAAATTTACTGCAGCATACCTATCTGCACAGAACACAAAAGACCAGTTATTACTTTCTTTTCTACCCTCACTTAAAGACAAACTTTACTTGTTTTAGGGTTTAAAATCCTATAATACTTTGTTTACTTAAAACAATGACATTTTTCCATTTGGCTTAGAACTTTTCTATTTGTATATTTGAATAAATAATACTATACATGTATATGGTACAAAATTTAAAAAGTACAAAAGAGTATATGGTAAAAAATAAATCTCTTCTACCCATTCTCCCAGACTCTATCAGTAGTAATCCTGTTACCAATTTTTTGCAGTGCCATTTATTTCTAGTCTCACATAGAGTTAATGTTAGTTAATAAAAGGATCATTTTTAAATAAAAATCTGAAAATCTTAGGTTTCAGAAAATGATTTTGTCTTTTAACCAATTTCCTCTCAAGGCAGTTATGATATAAATACTGGAGGGAAGCAACTAGGAAATCATTTTGGATTTATACATATCTCACCTATCCATTGCAAACTGGCATGTCCAAGTTTAGCCATCATCTGTCAGTCCACATGTCAGTCCACATTATTCCTTATTTACAAATGGGCATATTTCCTATGCTCTAAAATATTTCCATTCAATGAAGAACAAAAACTACATTTTCTAAATAAAATGATGAATTTTATGCAGAGGCATTAACTTATTACACTAAATTCAGTCTTACCTGCAGTTTTCTAGCACTTTGTTGTTGACACTCGTCTTTCTCAGTAATCTGCTGGTACAGTCTAGCTCTCAACACACGCAAAGCTATTTCTTTATTTTTTATCTGTGACCGTTCTTGTTGGCATTCTACTACAAGTCCTGAAAAATAACAGGGGTCAGAGGTAAACTGTAGCTTCAAAAAGCCAAATTAAGATAGAATTAAGGTGTTAATTATATCTCAATAAAATTCGAGGGAAAAAAAAGATACGACTAAGGAACATTGTAAAAGGGAAAAGGTTAGTCAGGAAAAGATCACAAGGAATTAAAAACATTTCAGATTTAGCATACTTCAGAAACTCTGCCTGTATTATAAAGGTCACAGTGGTAGATTGCTATTCAGATTTCGGAATCTAAGTGAGACAGTTCAGAGGAGGAGACTGAAAGCAGGAGCCCCTCAGGTGGTCACATGCACTTTTGTTCTCAGACTCTGCCTCTCCCTCGGAGCTCATCTGGATGCTTCTGCAGCTCAGCAAAAAGCAACCTGCTGTCACCCTGTGTGCTGCTCCCTTCCCTCTCTCTCTCAAGGAGAACTCAGCTTTTCCCCTTCGAGTCACAAATACAGAGCTGGTGTTTTAGAAATGAATTTCTATATACAAACCAGTGAAACAAAACTACTCAAACTCTTGAAAAAGAAGAGTTTATAGTGAATAGTTCTGAATTATTTTGGTTCTAAATCTGGTAAATCAACACATCTGACTACACATTTTCATTAGCCAACTTCTGGATTTGGCCCATTGTGCAGCCTAGCTAGCCTAACTCAAACCTAGCCTGGAAATGGTGAGCCCTCGAGACTTCAAGCTAGTCTATTCTTAACTCTGCAGCTACCATTCCGAAAGTCTGGGGGGATTAAAGATGGCGGCATGAGAGGTGAGACAGAGGCTTCCTTCTAAAACCGCATATAATATGAAAACATACTTAATACAACTAATCCTGAAAGATCAACAAGAGGACTGTGCCAGACTGCATAAACCTGGAGAAAAGAGCAGACCTCATGGAAAAGGCTAACATAACCAAAGCTGTAGCCTGGTGGGACCCAAGCCCTTCCCCCACCCCAGCTCACCTGTGAGAGGAAGAGAAACTGGGCAGGGAGAGAGTGGAGGCCTGGGACTGCTGAATACCTAGCTCCAGAGATCTGCTCTGGGAGCACAAACCTACATTTCATGGTGCTTTCATGATGCTCTCATGATTATGGGGTTGGAAAGCTAAGACAGGCAGACTTCCTGGAGAGACTGAGATTCCAGTCACTTGTGGAAAGCAAGGATCCATATCTGGCTGCACTGGGACAAAATCTTATACCTGTGTGATTGGCCCACTGGCTCAGGCAGTGGAGACAGGCATAGCAGCCAAGAAGTGGGAAACAGCTCTTTCTTCCCCCCAGGCACCAGTACCGCTCCCCTGCGACCCCCAACATTGCTTCAGGGGCTGAGCAGCTCCAGAATAGAGCTTCTGGACACTAGAGGGCGCCATATACAAACATGAAACGCCAAAGGAACTTGGTCCAGATTAAAATTAATATAACTCCTGAGAAAGATGACATTGACCTCATGAATCTTCCTGAAAGGGAGTTCAAAATAAAAATCATTAACAGCTCATGGAGGTATGAAAAGATATTCAAGAACTCGGGAATGAATTCTGGTTGGAGATCCAATCATTGAAGAGCAAAATGGAGGGTATTAAAAGCAGATTAGATATGGTAGAGGAGATGATAAATGAAACAGAAACTAGAGAAAAGGAATACAAAGAAGCTGAGGCACAGGGAGAAAAAAGGATCTCTAAGAATGAAAGAATACTGAGAGAACTGTGTGACCAATCCAAGCGGAACAATATTCGCATTATAGGGATACCAGAAGAAGAAGACAGAGAAAAAAGGATGGAAAATGTCTTTGAGGAGGTAATTGCTGAAAACTTCCCCAATCTCGGGAAGGAGATAGTCTCTCAGGCCATGAAGATGCACAGATCTCCCAACACAAGGGACCCAAGGAATACAACACCAAGAAATACAGTAATTAAAATGGCTAAGATAAAGGATAATGACAGACTATAAAAAGCAGGCAGAGAGAAAAATAAGATCACATACAAAGGAAAGCCTATCAGGCTAACATCAGACTTCTCAGCAGAAACTTTACAGGCCAGAAGGTAGTGGCATGAAGTATTTAATGCAATGAAGCAGAAGGGCCTGGAACCAAGATTACTTTATCCGGCAAGATTATCATTTATATTTGAAGGAGGCATTAAACAATTTTCAGATAAGCAAAAGCTGAGGGAATCTGCCTCCCAAAAACCATCTCTACAGTCAATTTGGGAGGGACTGCTATAGATGGAAGTGTTCCTAAGGTTTAATAGCTGTCACCAGAGGTAATAAAACCACAGTAAAGAAAGCAGAACAGCTAATTACTATGCAAATGCAAAGTTAAATGAACTATCCCCAAAGTCAATCAAGGGATACACAAAGCATACAGAATATGATACCTAACATATAAAGAATGGAAGAGAAAGAAAAAGGAGGAGAAAAAGAAAAGAATCTTTAGATTGTGTTTGTAATAGCATATTAAGCGAGTTAAGTTAGACTCTTAGATAGTAAGGAAATTAACTGTGAACCTTTGGTAACCATGAATCTAAAGTCTGCAATGGCAATAAGTACATACCTATCGATAATCACCCTAAATGTAAATGGACTGAATGCACCAATCAGAAGACACAGAGTCACTGAAAGATAAAAAAAACAAGATCCATCTACATGCTGTCTACAAGATATTCACTTTAAACCCAAAGACATACACAAACTAAAAGTGAAGGGATGGAAAAAGATACTTCATGCAACTAATAGAGAGAAAAAAGCAGGAGTTGTAGTATCATATAAAACAGATATCAAAACAAAGAAAGCCACAAGAGACAAAGAAGGACATTACATAATGATAAAGCGGTCAATCCAACAAGAAGATATAACCATTGTAAATATCCATGCTCCCAACAAAGGTGCACCTACATATGTGAAACAAATACTAACAGAATTAAAAGGGGAAATAGAATGCAATACATTCATTCTAGGAGACTTCAACACTCCACTCACTCTGAAGGACAGATCAACTAGACAGAATATAAGTAAGGACACAGAGGCACTGAACAACACATTAGAACAGATAGAGCTAACAGACATCTACAAAACTCTAAACCCAAAAGCAGCAGAATACATATTTTTCTCAAGTGCACATGGAACATTTTCAAGAATAGATCATATAAAAGGCCACTAAAGGAGCCTCAATAAATTCAAAAAGACTGAAATTGTACCAACCAGTTTCTCAGACCACAAAGGTATGAAACTAGAAATAAATTACACAAAGAAAATGAAAAAGCCCACAAACATATGTAGGCTTCACAACATGCTATATAACCAATATATCATGGATCAATAACATGGATCAATAACAATGGATCAATAACAAAATAAAAACAGAGATCAAGCAATATATGGAGACAAATGACAACAAAAATTCAACACCGCAAAATCTGTGGGACACAGCCAAGGCCTTCCTAAGAGGAAAGTATATTGCAATACAGGCCTACCTCAGGAAAAAAGAACAATCCCATATAAGCAGTGTAAACTCACAGTTAATGAAACTAGAAAAAGAAGAACAAATAAGGCCCAAAGTCAGTAGAAGGAGGGTCATAATAAAGATTAGAGCATAAATAAATAAAATTGTGAAGAATAAAACAATAGAAAGAATCAATGAAAGCAAGAACTGGTTCTTCAAGAAAATAAACAAAATAGATAAACCCTTAGCCAGACTTATCAAGAAAACAAGAGAGTCTACACACATAAACAGAAAAAAATCACTACAGGCACGACAGAAATACAAAGAATTATTGGACAATACCATGAAAAATTATATGCTAACAAACTCAATAACCTAGAAGAAATGGACAACTTTCTAGAAAAATACAACCTTCCAAGGCTGACCCAGGAAGAAACAGAAAATCTGAATAGACGAATTACCAGCAATGAAATCAAACTGGTAATCAAAAAACTACCTAACAACAAAACTCCTGGACCAGATGGCTTCACCGCTGAATTTTATCAAACATTTAGTGAAGACCTAATACTCATTCTCCTTAAAGTTTTCCAAAAAATAGAAGAGGAGGGAACACTTCCAAACTCATTCTATGAGGCCAGCATCACTCTAATACCAAAACCAGGCAAAGACACCACAAAAAAAGAAAATTAGACCAATATCCCTGATGAACACAGATGCAGAAATACTCAACAAAATATTAGCAAACTGAATTAAAAAATACATCAAAAAGATCATCCATCATGATCAAGTAGGATTTATTCCAGGGATGCAAGGATGGTACAATCCCTGAAAAATCCATCAACATCATCCACCACATCAACAAAAAGAAGGACAAAAAACACATGATCATCTCCATAGATGCTGAAAAAGCATTTGACAAAATTCAACATCCATTCATGATAAAAACTCCGAACAAAATGGGTATAGAGGGCAAGTATCTCAACATAATAAAGGCCATATATGACAAATCCACAGCCAACATCATACTTAACAGCGAGAAGCTCAAACTTTTCCTTTAAGATCGGGAACAAGACAAGGATGCCCACTTTACCCACTTCTATTCAACATAGTACTGGAGGTCCTAGCCACAGCAATCAGACAGCACAAAGAAATAAAAGGCATCCAGATTGGCAAGGAAGAAGTTAAACTGTCCCTGTTTGCAGATGACATGATATTGCACATAAAAAACCCTAAAGAATCCACTCCAAAACTACTAGATCTAATATCTGAATTCAGCAAAGTTGTGGGATACAAAATTAATAGACAGAAATCTGTGGCATTCCTACACACTAACAATGAACTAGCAGACAGAGAAATCAGGAAAACAATTCCATTCATAACTGCATCAAAAAGAATAAAATACCTAGGAATAAACCTAACCAAGGAAGTGAAAGACCTATACTTTGAAAACTACAAGACACTCATGAGAGGAATTAAAGAAGATACAAATAAATGGAAACACATCCCATGCTCATGGATAGGAAGGATTAATATTGTCAAAATGGCCATCCTGCCTAAAGCAACCTA